AAAAACTATTATTTACATTATTAACCACAAGACTATAACACATCACTTTTGTTTGTGGTATCAACAAATGCAGAACAAAATTTATTTAAAAAATGAGTTTTGCTAATCTTGTCAACTCCTTAGATGTCATGGACAGTATTGCCACTTTAAATTTAATTACATTTAATGCATCACTATAAGAGATTAATGAAGGCAAGCAAAACTAAATTCTTTCCTAGGTGCTGTAGTATTTCATTTGATAACAAAAAAGAGGACAAAATGTAAATAAGGTTTATATGCGTTCCAACTTTTCACTCAGGAATTCTTCTACACTGTCTGTGTTCCACTTCAGGATGCTTAGTTCTTCAGCAATGTTCCCACTGTCGTCCAAAAGCTTTAGCACAGGGTCTGAACCACGAACATACTACAAAAAAGAAGGACATCATCACTTTTTTTCTGCTTAGAAAGAGCCTCCTCTGTCTTACAGAAGATCAAAGCATTATTAAATGATATTTAAAAAAAGCTGTTAGATATAACATCACAATCAAGAAGTCTTAAAGGAAGACTTTCAGGGAAGAATTAAATATGATCTAATAAAAATGAGAAGTGAAAATTTACTTTTGCTTTTATAGAGAAAAATATTGGTGTCAAGATATTTTATTTGGGACAAGGGCCAGGGAGATAGCTCAAAAGAACAAGTATTTGTGTGGCAAGCACAGGGTCCTGGGTTCAGTCCCCAGTACTGCCAAAAAAAAAAAAAAAAAGAAAAGGAAAGAAATAGAATTCAGCTCCTGACTATGCTGAAAGATATTTTATTTGGGACATAGGCTATTGAATGTAACAAATATTACACATGACTCTCTCAAATTCAAATGAGTTTAAAAATCTAATGGAGGCAGACCAAAATAATGAGATAAAACAACTGTACAAGAACAATGTTTTGAAATAGGCATACATAGAAATTATCTCATGTGGAATCTCATACTGGATCATTAATTGTCCTTGGCTTAAGAAACCTAACAACTAAATGACTGCTGGGGATATAGCTCAGCAGCACAGGACCTTCCTGGCAAGCATGAAGTAGTGAGTTTGACTCCTGGTACCAAAAAAAAAAAAAAAAAAAAAAAAGCAAGCAAGCAAGCTAGCTAGGTAGCTAACAGTTGTCAGTGTAGAATGAAGCTCAATTCCTGAAACTTCAAACCCATCAGGTCTAGCCAATAAGAGAGTTTTAAGAAATTTTAACACTAGATAAATATGAAACAAACAACATATTTTTAAAAAAGTAAATCTCCAGGTTTAAATTACATAGAACCAGACAACTGAAAGTGCAGCAGTGATGAGAACTTCTTGCAACGGCTATCACCTCAGTTGTTTTAGGTTCTCTGGGATTGTGAATTCCAGAAATAGAGGTAAGCTCTGCTGTAAGTCATTAGCACAGATATACTGCCAACCCATCTGTGGAGTACAGAAATATAGGCGGCTTTGGGCTAATAAATGAGTGAATGAATGAATGAATGAGTGAAACACCATTATCCACATTACTTCAACATTTCTGCTCAGGTTATTACATAAGTAATTTTTAAATTATTATTCACTTATTTAAGAACTTACTCTAATTCAAAAATCTAACAAGCTGAATAGACTATAGTTGCACAAATCTTTCACAAAATATTAGCAAAATGAATTAAAAATGCGTAAAAGCAATTATACACTATGACAATCAGCATTTACTTCAGATATATAAAACTGCTGCAAAATTTGGAAAGTACCTGTTAGTCTATTACAAGTAACAGGTTAAATCCGAAAAATTGCATACAATCATATTAATAGATGTACAACAGCATCTGACAAAAACATTCATCACCCATTCATGATGCACATTCTCAGCAAAGTAGGAACAGAGGGACCTCCTTAACTTCAAGAAAAAAACAAGCAGAGAACTAAAATTGTACACAACGGTGAAAAACTAGATGTGCTTCCCATAAGAGAACAAGTCAACAATGCTCCTGATCATTATTTTAACTCAAAAGTGCTGGAAGTCCTAGCTAATACAGTAAGTAAAACAGATACCATGTACACAGATTGGGAAAGAAAAAATGAAAATGTTCACAGATGTCAGGACTGTATAAAGACCCCAAAGAATCAGCAAAGAAACCTAGGTGAACTATACAGGGATTATAGCAAGGTTGTAGGATACAAGGTTAAGAGCATGCCAGATAGTTTAGCAGATTAAAGTGCCTGCAAGTAGGCACAGGAGCCAGGGATTTGATCCCTGGGTCAGTCGTGCCGGCCCCACCCCAGGGTTGTAATCCCAGCAGTTGGGAGGCTGTAAACAGGAGAATCACTGAGTCCAATCTAGTAGTGAGACCCTGAACACCCTGTAGACCCTTTCCTAAAATATAGAAAAAAAAAAAAAAGAAAAAGATACAAGGTTAACATATAAACATCAATTGCTTTTCTATATATCAATCATGAATAGTTGAAATTTGAAATAAAAAACATAACACTATTTACATTAGCAACAACTAAACTTTAGATCTTAAATACCCCCAAAGGCCCTTGTGTTAAATCTTTAGGCTCTAGCAAAGAATTCTTAAAGACTAGAAAAAAACTTCCCAAAACAAATTTTAAAAAGTGGGGAAATAAGCAAAAGGAGACAAACAGGACACAAAACTTGAAAGCTTCTGTATATTAGAAGAAACAATGGCCAGATGGAGAGAAGAAAATACTGGCAAATCATATACCTGTCAAGGGAATCCAGAATATATCAAGAATCCTTACACCCAAACAACCTCCCACAAATGTCCCAATTAAAATACAGACAAAAGATAATGCTCTATGGAAGATGTACGAATGGCCAACAAGTACATTAAAATACGCTACCATTAGAATGGCTAAAACTCCAAATAGATGCAATATCTAAGGGTGGTTAGCATGTGGAGCAATAGGAACCCTTATTCACTGTCAGGACAAATGCAATTGGATATAATACCCTGGAAGAGTTTTGTAATTTCTTACTAAATTAGACAATCTTAATTGTATAATCTAGCAATCAAACTCCCAGGAATTTACTAAATGAGTAAAAAAGCTTATGTATATACAGAAACTCTAAGGTTTACAGTAGTTTTAGTACTGATAATCACTAAAAATTGAAAGCAAAATAGATGCCTTTCCACAGATGAATAGAAAATGAAATGGCAACATAGGATATTGTTCTGCAATAAGAAAGAATTTTTTTAAACATGGAAAAAGATCCTGGAGAATTTTATATGCAAATTGTAAGTGAAAGAAACCAATTTAACGACCAAATAGCTCAGTGGATTAAAGCACCTGCAAGCCAGCCCCGCCCCAGGGCGCACTGAGATGGTGACTGAGATGGGGCATGGTGGCACATGCCTGTAATCCCTGCTGTTGGGAGGCTGTAAACAGGCAGATTACTATGAGTCTGATCTAATAGTGAGACCCTGAACGGCACGTAGACCCTTCCCTAAAATACAAAAAAATTAAGACAAAAAAAGAAACCAATTTAAAAATGTAGTATGTTTTATGACTATTACTGTGACATTCTGGAAAAACTAGAGACAGGGAAACAATCAGTGGCTGCGAGTGGCTGGAAGGGGAGAGAGGGATGTGGTGTGCAGTGGAATTTTAGAGCAGAGATGATACCACAACAGTAGACACAAGATATAATTCATTTGACAAAATTCCTGGAATTTATACAACACAAAGGGTGCTATCTGATGCATACTATGGAATTTACTTAACACATCAAGGTTACTTCAATGTGCATCAAAGGAAAATTATTGTATCCTGGGAAACTGAGGGTGAGGATGAGGGCCAGAGTCAGTGGAGCCATTCTCCTTTTGGCTTTCTTGTGAATCTAAAACTTCTAAAGACATAAAGTTTACTAATTAAAAAAATACTTATTTCAATTCAGAAAGACACAAAGTGACACTGGGAAAGGAGATTTCATTATAATCATCCTACCTTGATTTGCAGTCCTCTGAACAGTTTGGGCTTATCGCTTCTCACGAAAGCTGAAAAGTGATTTAAACTGTTTATATCCAAATTCAAGCCAGCTACAAAGACTAATACTAAAGCTGGAGATAACAAATGAAACACTATGTCATATATAGAAAAATACAAAGAAATGTAATATGAACAGATAATAAATGCAAATAAATGGAGACACCATATTATTAACAAGACTAAGTGTTTTTATTTATTTATTTTTTTGGTGGTACCAGGGATCAAACTCAGGACTTTACACTTGTTAGGCAAGCACTTATTCCACTGAACTATCTCCCTGGAAGACTAAATGTTTTAAGACATTAATTTTTCAAATTAATCAAATCCCAAATGGGAGTTTTAGAGCTTAACAAAATGGTAGTATAGCTGAGCTATAAAATATTTTAGGATACTAAAGAACATTTAGAATATTAAAGCATGAACAGAGAAAGAGAAAGATTTAGCTGGGGGTATGTTGTGGGAAGAACTACAAACTTCCTTCATGAAGGGCATTTAGGAAAACGAACTGGAGGTCTTAAAAAGGTATATAGCCTTTAAAACTACTAGTCTATTCCTAGCACTTTCTTTATACTAAAGAAACAATTTATATAACATCCTGATAACAAAATATGGAAAACTATATATATGTATATATATGTACATATTTCTTCCCCCATCCCAATTGTTCTTTCCCTTTGATCAGTTCCCTTTCCTTTCACAACACCTACTGTGTATTTTGGATCTTATTTACTCTTATACTAGGAAGACAACATGATGTTCACACATGACAGTCTCATTTATTTCACTTGAGTATAGTATGGTCTCTAACTGCATCCATCTAACTATATAAGTCAGTTTGTCCTGTAAAATAGAGAAGATAATTACACTACTAATTTCTTTTAACACTACTAATTTCTATTAGTTCACTGAAAAGAATGGCTTGCATGTCTATATTTTGTAATCTGGGCAACTACTTTGAAGAAAATATGCAATATAATAATCACTGTTAATTTCCTGTTATCTTGTTTTAAGGTCTGTAAATCATTGTTTTTAAATTATTTTTTCCTTTATTTTTAAAAAAATCTTATTGATTTATTTATTTTATTTATTTATTTTTTGTGTGTGTGGCCAGCTCAGCCCACCAGGGGGCGGGGCTGGCTGGCATGTGGTGTTGGGAGATTGAACCTCGGTCCCTGCGCTTTGCTGAGCTTGTTCTAAGTAAGCGCTTTAGACCACTGCGCCATCTCACCAGCCCTATTCTTTCCTTTAAAATATAAAAAATATGGAAAACTGGAAATAATCTAAAGGTGTGAAAGGCTATGGGATGGGTGAATTAATATGTACCAGTCATTAAAAATCATGGTGACCTGCTCAGTAAACACTTGATGCGTAACTACTGTAACGATTTGTAGCAGGTTCCTGATCAGTTTAGTTTGTTACCTATAGTTTTTAAGAAGAAAAGGATGGATATTTATCCAATTTCATTGCAAATGAAAAAAACCTGGAAGCAGGCCGGGGATATGGCTCAGCAGAATAAGCGCTTCCCTGGCAAGCTCATGGGCCTGAGTTCAGTCTCTGGTTCCATCAAAAAACAAAAACAAAAACATGAACAAAAACCTGGAAGCATTAAATAAAATCTTTTAAGAACGCTGTCATAGTTTTAATGAAGGATAAATCTGAGAACCAGAATAGGGGAAATTTTAAATGAACATTTCCCTCTTTTTTGGTTTTACAAATAATTTTCAATGTTTCAATAATTATTATGTCATTATGTTCAAATTAAAAAGTTTGTATTTTTCAAAATTAAATGAGTCATGTTTCATTTAGACATCTGATAGCTCTCTGTCTTATTTACTTTATTTTTTCTCTTTTTGAGAAAGGGTTTCACTATGCAGTTCAGGCTGGTCTTGAATTCACTTTGTAGTGCAGGCTGGCCTTGAAGTTGTAGTGGTTCTTCTGTCTAATCCTCCTGAGTGCTGTGATTACAGGTGTGTACACCATGCCCAGCTTTATTTTTTTAAGACAGCTCTTACTATGTAGTTTAGGGTAGCCTGAATTAGTGTCTGGAAAAACTAGAGACAGGGAAACAATTCGTGGCTGCAAGCCACTATGCAGCCCAGGCTGGCCTCAAACTTGTGATGATCTACCTGATAGTTTTTAATATTTTTTTT